CCTGGTCTCCCACGTAGGTGCAGAGGCCCAAGCACCTGGGCCATTGTCACTGCCCTCCCAGGCCACAACAACGGGGCTGGACTGGAAGAGGAGCAACCAGGACTAGAACCCGGTGCCCATATGGGATGCTGGCACCACAGGCAGAGGATTAACTAAGTGAGCCACGGCACCGGCCCCCAAATCATTATTCTATTCACATTATGTTAGTGACTTCACATAAAATATATGAAAAATATAATCCTTTGCATTGCTTATGATGCTAGGATTTGGAATAAGATGTGGAAAATTCAAATCATTATTTCCATTTAATTCTTGGATAATTGGGGACATTAACACAAAATATCTAATATTGAGGTTCTTAATTATTAAATATAATGGAAGGGAGTGGGATAATACCTACATTTCATATTTAAAGAAATAAATATGACTAACATCTGGAATGGCATAGTGCTTTAATTGTAGCAAGGCTTCAGTGTATGTATGGGAACTGTTATAATAGGATTTATTAGCCTTGTGCAAGGAAGAATGTATGTTCTCTGATTAAAGAACATGCTACTCAAGAAGATCTAGAACTCTGGCCAGAATCAAAGCAAAATTGGAAAGAACATTAAACTCACTATAAAGCCTTCTGCAACTACTATCCTTTCCAAGTGGAATCTTCTATTTGTTAAAAACTCACTCTAAGAGAAAAAGAATTCTCATTGTTTGGTAGTAAAGATTAGATTTCGGAATACAGAAACTCAGAACAAAGTTTAACCACACATTTGCTATGTAAACTTGGTAAGTAATGTAACCTTTTGTATATCATTTTCATCATGAACAAATATGGAATATAACAATACAAATTTTCAGAATGTTAATGTAACTGTGAATGATAAATTATGCAAGAAGCTTTACCAAGTAAAAATAAATATTAGTTTTTTGTTGGACTATAATATGAGTAATTAAATATAAACTTTTCTGGAAATGTGAAAGGTTACTGACAAGATTAACTGTACAATGACATGAAAACATAAAGTAAATGGGATGGAATGATGGTGGTGGTATTTCAGGTTTCCATTGCTTTGGCGCTTGTACTTAGAGGCTCTTGAAACTCCTATCACCTTTTTCTACATCTGTCATTTTCCTCCCTATAATTCTTTCTTCTTATCTGTAGCTATTTCACTGTGATCATTAATTGAATGCTTCCAGCTTTCCTGTTCTCTCACTTGCATTGAAAATATGTTGCCCATGATAACAAGCAGCATGATTGTTCATTCACTTAGTGGGATTTTGATGTGTCTTTATCTTAATGCCACAGTGATAACTTCTCCTTTTCTTCAACTGTGTAAATGATATTCATCATTGATACTCCATGTGCTCTTTGCACTTGTGTTTCTTATTTTCTCTAAGCATAATAGAAGGAACACTGAAAGAGACCTTACAAAATGATCTGAATTTAAGAAGGCATGACAAGATCATGGTAATTAGAAAAGAAATGGAGAACTTAGATCATTTGCCATTGGACACAGTCTGAGATATGGCACCAGGCTGGAAATCATTGACTTTGGAAAAAGAATTGGTTATTTTAAATTAAGTCTTCCATTAAGCTCAGATGTGCCTAGAATGTATATCTGTTCTGCATATGTGGCAATAATCCACCTTCTTCTTACTCTATTCCTTCTGAAATTTGTTACACAATACAATACTCTCTGCTTCACAATGGTCATAGACATTGAACTAGACAGAGTGTTCAGAGATCACTATTTTCAACCCAAAAAAGAAAAACAATAAAATCATGAGGACTGCTGAAGACTGCTTTCTACTCATCAACAACACTCCTGGGACTAAGAAGGGTTTTAGGATACCAAAACGCTTGCAGAATTTTTACTGGCCCTTTCCTACCATGAGTCTCTACCTCTCCTTAGAACCTCCCATAGAGCCCCATTAACATCCTTGTTCCTTAGAGTATAAATCAAAGGATTGAGAATGGGGGCAATTATAGTATAAAAGAGAGCAACAAATTTTCCCTTGCTCTCAGAATAACGGTGCATGGGTTGGAGGTATGTGTAGATTCCTGAACCGTAAAAAAGGGAAACTACTAAGAGGTGGGATCCGCAAGTCCCAAATGCTTTTCTGCGCCCAGCCATTGACTTGACCCTTAGCACTGCCTGAGCAATGTGTACATAGGAGACCAGAATTAATATTGCAGGAATGACCAGAATTATGATTCGAGCCACAAACATCTTGGCCTCTGTTCCTTCTATGTCTTGACAAGCCAACTTGAGGAAAGCAGGCATCTCACAGAAGAAGTGGTTCAGTTGATGGCTGCAGAGAGGCATGGCCATCATGAGACCTGTCTGAATCAGAGAGTTTATGCAGCCCACTGCCCAGGAGGATGCAGCCATTGTCTGGCAGAGAAAAGGATGCATAATGTTTGTGTAGTATAGGGGACGACAGACAGCAGCATAGCGGTCAAAGGCCATTACCACAAGGAGGACACACTCAGTGGAGCCTAAGGTGAGGAAGATGAAGAGCTGGGCCACACACCCTCCATAGGTGATGGTCCGGTCATGTCCATGAAGGTTGATCAGAAGCTGGGGCACAGTAGTGGTTGTGTAGCAGAGGTCCAGGAATGAGAGGTGGCAGAGGAAGAAGTACATGGGCGTGTGTAGACGAAGGTCTATTTGGTAGAGAGTAATGATGGTGATGTTGCCCAAGAGAGTAAGGGAATAGAAAATCAAAATAAAAACAAAAAGAAAAACTTCCAGTTGAGGCCAATCTGAGAAACCCACCAAAATAAAACCTTTTTTGAAACTGGTGTTGGCATGTTCCATAGTTCTTTGCCTGTAAAAAGAAGACAATTAAGTATATCTCATGAAGAACAAAAGTTTCAAACCTTTTTTTCAGAGCATTCTCTAGTTCTTCCTATATCAGACCTTTTACTAACTCTTTTGCCACTCTTTTCTCTTTGATTCAGTCTTCAATTCCTACTCCTATGTTCTTTGCTAGAAATCACTGGATTAGGACTGATGTCATCTTTGAACGATAGTCCTGTTGTTGATTTGCTTCATGACTTTAGTCAGGCTGCTCTTTGAGCCTGATAGTTTCTTGTCCAAAAGGAGAGTTGGTATACCGGCTCCCTCAAAGCATTTACATTAAGGCAAAATTAATTACTGTGGACGCTATTTTAAAAAACCTGAAGGGAAAATGTGTGCTTTTATTAGTCTATGTTTTCCTGGTTTATCTTTCCTTAGTCTCTCTCTCTCTCTCCCTCTTAAAGATTTATTTATTTACTGGAAAGGCAGAATTACAGAGAGGCAGATGTAGAGAGAGAAAGGGGGAGAGAGAGGGAGAGAGAAGGAATGAGGAAGGGAGGGAGAGAGAGAGAGACAGAGACAGAGAGAGAGGGAAGGAGAGCGAGAGAGAGGTCTTCCATCTGCTGGTTCACTCCCCAGATGGCTGCAATAGCTGGAGCTGTGCCAGGATCCAGAAGCTTCTTCTAGCTCTCTCACATGTGTGCAGGAGCCCAAGAACTTGGGCCATCTTCTACTGCTTTCTCATGCTATAGCAGAAAACTGGATTGGCCAGGACTCAAACTGGTGCCCATATGGAAACCAGCACTGCAGGCGGTGGCCTTGCCTGCTACGCCACAGCACCAGCCCTCCTTGGTTTCTTAAGCAGCTATTTCAGCCAGTAATTTAATAGGTTTACAGTATGAGATCTCATATTTGACCTCTGAATACTCTGCTTCTGTTTGCTCAATAGAAATGGTCAGTGCATCAATCCAGGAAGTCCTATTCATGACCAAAAATGTATTGAGAAGAATGTTAAATGTTTAACACCCTCTAAATCTTTAGAAATATGTTTCTTTTAAGAAACAACAGATTAACTGTTACTATATTTTGATCATTATGGAATAAGGATAGGCAAAAACATTGTTCTCCTGTGAGACTGATGTTGCTTGTGATGAAAATTTAACATTATTATAACAAAATATGTCAGACAGTCAAATGATAGAGTAGTTTTAAAAAGGAAACTCAGTAAATTACTATTAATAATATCATAACAAATTTGAAAATATTAAAGAAGTCAATAAATTGATATACATTGGAGAAAGAATGGCCAATTCAATACATGGTGCTGGCAAAATGGAATTGGGTTGGCACAGCGCCAGCCATGGAGGCTATTAGGGGAGTGAACCAACAGAGGGAAGACCTTTCTCTCTTTCTCTCACTGTCTACTCACACTGTCTATAACTCTCTCTCTGTCTCTCTCTCTCACACTGTCTAACTCTGCCTGTCAAAAAAATAAAATAAAAAATGGAATATATTTATAAAGAATGAAATTAGATCCTAACCTCTCACCAAATATAAAAGTCAATATGAGATGAATGAAAGTCCTAATGTGAAGACCAGAAACTATGAAATTTTATGAAGAAAGTATAGGGTAACACTTCAAGACATTGATGTAGGCAAAGATTTTTCATTTAGACCCCAAAATTATAGGCAACAAAAGCAAAATTAGATGAATGGGATTATATCAAAGTACAAGATTTCTACTAAGCAAAGCCAACAATCAGCAGAGTAAAAGTTCTTTGAGATTTATTTATCTGACAAAGGACTACTATTCAGAATATAAAATGAGCAAAAAAGCCTCAACGACAGGAAAGCAAGAAATCTAGTTAAGAAATGAACAAAGACTGAATAGATTTTTCAAGACATACAAATGTCCAACACATTTGGGAAAAATACGCAATATCAATTGTCATTAGAGACATTGAAATCAAAACCACAATGAGATATCATCTCTTTCTTGCTAGAATAGCCATTACAAAAAAAGTAACAAATTCTGGATAATATGCAGAGAAAATGAAATGTTTGTACACCATCTGTGGGAATATAAATTAGTACAGTCACTGTAGAAAACTGTATCCAGACTGCTGAAAAAAATTCTAAATTGAACTGACATGTGATCCAGCAATCCCACTATTAGTGTGTATCAAAAAGAAATGAGGGCCGGTGCTGCAGCTCACTAGGCTAATCCTCTGCCTGTGGTGCCGGTACTCCGGGTTCTAGTCCCGGTCGGGGCGCCGGATTCTTTCCTGGTTGCTCCTCTTCCAGGGCAGCTCTCTGCTGTGGCCTGGGAGTGCAGTGGAGGATGGCCACAGTGCTTGGGCCCTGCACCCACATGGGAGACCAGGAGGAAGCACCTGGCTCCTGGCTTAGGATCGGTGCAGCGCACTGGTTGCAATGCGCTGGCTGTAGTGGCCACTTGGTGGGTGAACCAATGGAAAAGGAAGACCTTTCTCTCTGTCTCTTGCTCACTGTCTAACTCTGCCTGTCAAAAAAAAAAATAAAAAAAAGAGAAATGAAAGCATCCTATCAAATAGATACCTATGCCCTGTTATTGTAACACTATTTACAAAAGCCAAGATATGGAATCAACCAATATTTCTACTGATTGATGAACAAATAAACAAAATGTGCTACATATACACAATGAAAATATTATTCAGCCTTAAAAATAAAATCCTGTAATTTGCAACAAAGTAAGTGACTTGAAAATATTATCCTAAGTGAAATAAGTCAGATGCAGGAAAATGTATATCGTATATTCTCCTCATATGTGGAAGCTCAGAAATATCAACCCAAGAAAGAATAGAAATTCGTACAGGCTGGGAGGAGTTGGAGGAGTAGATAGAGGGAGGTTGGTTAAAAGATACTAAACCATAGTTAGAATGTTCCTAATGTGACCCAGCAAAATGGCTGCCTATAGTTCACAATGAACTATTGTGTATT